TGCTCAGGGATTGGCTCATGTCAAACCTAAAAGCAGATCACCAAAAGGTGCAAGTCCGTGACTGCCAGAGTCATCATGCTCTCAAAATGTGAGCCCTCTTCTCCAAGAGTCTATGATTTGTTTTTGACAACCCTCATTACTTTCTCCACATATGCTATGACCCCTCTCCTTTGCTTTAGTGTTAGTTTAATTTTTTGGTCTAAAATGTAAAATAAGACCCTCTCTAAAAGTTCAAATGCGTCACCTGTACAAAACTGTGTACAGTACCTAGGAATATCTTGCTATCATGTAACACAGTGGTTCTGTCATCCAGAGAATGAATAAATGGATGAGGAAATCAATGCAAATTTTAAAAAATAAATATAAAAGAGGACCAGTCCCTCCAGAGTTTGAGACATTACAGAATTCAAAACTCTTACCAGTGCAGTGTTTGTGTAAAATTAGGTAGAAGGAAAAATGAATAGAACAGAAGACATGAGTCAGAAGTAGATTCTGATGAAGGACTCATCACAAGACTCTGGAGAAAGGATTTGCTAATAACTTGTTCTTATACAATGAAGTAACCATTGTGCAAAAAGTTAAAGGGACCAAAATAAACTCCAGTTATATCAAACTGTAGCTTTATAAGTCATTAGTAATACCTAGAAAGATTTATGTAAAAAATGTTTATTAGATCATTATTTACAGTATGAAACAATTATAAATATAATTTATATTATCATATTACTATGATCCAAATATATATACAAAATTACTTTTGACTATTATTTTTGACTCATATGTAGAATAAGGAAGGGGTGAGCCTCAAAGACTGTTTTAAGCCATTATCCAACTCATATACTGTTTCCTCAAAGAAATCAGAAAAATATTAACAATAGCATAGCAATCTTTAAGAAATACATCTGAGTGTGCCTCACTTTACTTACTATAAGCCTGAAAAATGTTAATTCTAACTACAGTGGTGAAACATACATATGTATATAGGTCCACACATGTATATATGTATATCACAGTTTTTTATTACATGACCCTTTCAAAAATATATAATAAAAGGGCAGTACCTGTGGCTCAGTGAGTAGGGTGCCAGCCCCATATACTGAGAGTGGCCAGTTCAAACCCGGCCCCGGCCAAGCTGCAACAAAAAATAGCTGGGCGTTGTGGTGGGCTCCTGTAGTCCCAGCTACTTGGGAGACTGAGGTAAGAGAATCGCCTAGGCCCAAGAGCTGGAGGTTGCTGTGAGCTGTGATGCTACATCACTCTACTGAGGGCAACAAAGTGAGACTCTGTCTCTAAAAAAATAAATAAATAAAAATACATGATAAAAATATTTTCAGGTGTTCCTGTGAAATAGAGAAAAGGAAGCTCATCTTTTTAACCTTCAAGTAGTATGCCAAAAATTTGCTATTTCTCGTAAACTTTTGTTGCAGTTTGGCCAGGGCTGGATTTGAACCCGCCACCCTCACTATATGGGGCCAGCGCCCTACCTACTAAGCCACAGGTGCTGCCCTGTTTCTCATAAACTTTAAAATGTGAACTCATGTGAAATGCGAGGGGGAATTGGTGTACGAGAGTCATGGAATATTTGTATCAACCTTCCAGGCCTCATGCATTATAATGAAAACGTCCTTCCTGGTGTTCTTGAGTTTTTGATAGATTCTATTAGGAAGAAAATGCTTGTTTTATGAGCTTAAGAAATCTTTAAAACTGTTTCCTGGTGACTATGAAGGCCCTCTAATAATTAATGTGTGTTTCTTAAGGCTACAGACAGTAAATAGCAAAAGTAAGACCCAACTCTAATTCCTTTGACTATCATTTTGGGGATTATTCTGCCCTGGAACTGAAATTTGCAAATTTCCTCATTCGTAAATAGTAACACCTAAATCCAGTTCACAATTTCTTGTCACTTAGCTTGATGGTACCTGGGAGCCATTATTTTCTGACGAATTCTGTAGTCCAGTTTCTTGTGGAAAACCTGAAAGTCCAGAACATGGATTTGTGGTTGGCAGTGAACACAGCTTTGAAAGCACAATTATTTATCAATGTGAATCTGGCTATGAATTAGAGGTAAGCAAAAAAAAATTGTTAACTTAGAATTCTTTTTTTTTTTTTTTTTCTGACATACTTGGGAATATTTTTAGCATTAGCACGAATTTGTTTCACTGATTTTCATCCTAAAAGATTCTATTACACTTTGTTGCCTTCCAGGCTAATATTTTCTAGGAAATATTTAAGGTGACTTATAATTTTAAAAAGTGGCATAAGCCTCAAACTATGAAATTGAAGCCATGGAAAGGAAAAGGAAGTGAGTTTGCAGCCCACAAGACGGATACTGTTAAATCTGTGTGTTTTAAGTTTGCAGACCACAGACAGATACTGGTAAACCTGGGTGTTGGTTTGCTGCCAATCATACTCTGCATCAGAGAAATTCACTTGTCACCATGGGGAGATTTAGATATGCGAAGACCACAGGGATTTAGATATGCGAAGCCAGGATTCCTTCAAACAATGGCCTCATATACCTTGGTGCTGAGATACCAAGTTCTCCTAAAGCAGGTCTGGCCTGAAAAAAATCCTCAGAGAAGTTTTAATCAAATACCAGCTTCATTCTTGAGACCATGCCCTTTGTATAATATTAGAAGCCAGCGGTACTCAGGGCTCCCTATTTATCCCTGTTTACTTTAGTGGGAGGGCTGTAATTAGTTTTGCTGGAAAGCATTACAATGTCCCCAAACTGGACATTTAAAAGACCTGTTTTCATTATGTAACATTATCATTTGGTTTTTCAGGAAACTCTTCTACTTTTTACGGGCATGGTGGTATTTCTATATAGATTTTGCAGATGTATTCCCTGCCGCTCACCTGTTAAATTGGTATAGCATAGCCCATTTTTTCTGAACATGCAGTCAAGGAGTTATCATCAGACAGGCATACAAAAGCTGGAACCAGGTTTATATGGATCTTGTTTTATGACTCAAAAAGTTTTAAAAAAAGAAAAAGGAAGGATGATCGTGTAACAGTTGATTGCAACTGGGGATTTTCCCTGTTTTTGAAGCTAGTTGTTCTTCATATGAGAGTAGAAATATTGTGATTTATGAAAAGTAGTATAAAATTGTGAACAGAAAATTGAGGAATTATTAAATTTCAGAAAGTAGATAACTTCCCTGAAAAATTTTGGAAACATCTTGGAGCTAACCACAAAATTGAGAGAGGTACCATAGGAATTGCTGTCACTCCGAGCTACCTGTTAGAAACAGTTGAGAAATCCTCTGAACTAGTCATGTCCAGTTACTTGGAGAAATAGCCAATTCCAGGTATGGGGCAAGAAATATAAAAGATTGCCTGGAAACTCTTGTTACATGAGATAGCGGGGAACCTTTCAAAAGACTCAAATAAAAGTACTAAAGCCAGCTGAGGAATAAATCAAAAGAAAAACTCAAAAAATGGATAATCATGTTATAAAATCACTTTAAGTCAAATGGGTTTTATGACTCTAAAGCTTAAACATCTAAGCTAATTGTCAAAAATCAGACACATTAGGTCCAGAAAAATTGATGCTAACCAAGGTCTTAAACTCCAGCTTAATTCATCAAAAACAGAAAAAGTAAAGAAGAAAGAGAAAGAAAAAGAAAAGAAAGAAACGCATGATAAATTTTGCAGCTTACTAAGGAGGGAGCCAGCAGATGGTGTTTGATTTTTTTAGTCAACAGTTGCTGATAGTTTGAGACCAACCTAAGCAAGAACAAGACCTCATCTCTACAAAAAAATAGAAAAATGAGCCAGGCATGGTGGTGCATGCCTGTAATCCCAGCTACGTGGGAGGCTGAGGCAGGAGTATTGCTTGAGCCCAGGAGTTTGAGGTTCCTCTGAGCTATGATGACACTACAGTTCTATAGCCTGGGTGACAGAGCAAGACTCTGTCTCCAAAAAAAAAAAAAAATACTGATAATTTATTCGAGTTTTTATTAGAATAAAAATTGACATAGGACAGAATATGTATCATTTGAATCATTAGAGAAAAGAGAACAAAGAGAAAGTAATACTGGGTGGAAAAATGCTAAACTGTTGACTAAAATGAACCAGTTAAGTACATTTCATTCTGGAAGTACCCAAATAATTAGTTAGTTGGTTAGGAAGCACGTTTTATAGATTCACCATCTGCTTCCTCAAAATTATGAATAATAAAGAGTAACTCACAAATCATAAAAGTATGTTTCCCTAGGCACACATAAGTATAAGAATTGAAAAAGCATAGCAAATATTAACAATGTTTATCTCTGGATGAAAAATCCTGGAAAACTTTCTATTTTTCTCTTTTCCAATCGTCTATAATGAACATATATTACTTGTTTAATAAGAAGAAAATAATGAATACATCTTTTTAAGAAACATTGAATTTCATAGAATCAATTATTTGCTTGACGAGTCAGGACAGTCCCTTATTATCTTTCTATTATACACTTATGACCTTGTCAATGACCTTTCTCCATTCCTTCACAGGGAAACAGGGAACGTGTCTGTCAGGAGAACAGACAGTGGAGTGGAGAGGTAGCAACTTGCAAAAGTAAGTTAAATGACACTTAACAGCCCTGAAAATGACACGTAAAGACACAAAATAACTAGGTGGCTACATTTTCATTGTAGATCAATTTTGTCAGGAGAAAAAAAAATTTTTTCAACCAGCTTCATAAACTGTATGAAAACCTTTAATGAGCTTTTGCTCAAGGTCAGCAAACCAACAAAAAGGTCAAAAACTGTGTGAGAGATTAATGATTAAACTGGAATACAACACAAGATTACTGACTCTGGAATGGAAAACATTCTGTTTATGAACTAGTTAATTATTGAATTTATTTGCATTTGGAGGACTTTTCCCCCCAATAATTATAAATTAGAAGGCTTAGAGTTGTTTTATTTGAAGACAGTACCAAACAATACTGGCATCTTTTTTAAGTGCTATTTGTCCATCTGTCAAAGAAATGAATATTCACATTTTGTGTGGACTTTTATATTAATTCGTTTTATGAGAACAGAGAATGACCAAGTTTATCTGGGTTAATTCACATGCCTTTATTCCCAATAGATGGCCCACATGCTTCCTCTATCAAAAGACAATGTGTTGAGATACAGTGGTTTCAAACCAATTTTAGATGATCTAGTCCAGGCCTCTTGATTGAGCAATAAACAAATGAGGTCTATGAGAAGGGAAGTGATAGTAGAAATCAATATCGATTTAGTAGCTGAGCTGGCACTGGGACCCCGGGATCTTGAATCCTTATTCATTGTTGTTTCAACCATATCTTCTGGGGTAGATTAATAAGATAAGATTACACTCTGTTGTCCAGGCTGGAGTGCAGTGGTGTGATCATAACTCATTGCAGCCTTGAATTCCGGGAGTGAAGCCATCCTCCTGCCTCAGCCTCCTGAGTAGCTGGGAGTACAAGTGCACACCACCACTCTCAGCTAATTTTTTTTATTTCTTGCTATGTTCTCCAGGCTGATCTTGAACTCCTGGCCTTAAGTCCTCCTGCCTAGGACTCCCAAAGTTCTAGGATTACTGGAGTGAGCCACTGCATCAGCCCAGAATCTTCCATGGGGGGTGGGGGAGGGGAACCTATGGCCTCAAGGCCACATGTGACCCTCCAGATCCCCAAGGGCAGCCCCCTGATTGAATCTAAACTTCACAGTACAATTCAAAATTGAGACTGTCAGGCCCCACCCCAATCCTAAAAAATCAAAATTTGCATTTTAACAAGATCCCTAGATGGTTCCCATGCACACAACAGTTTAAGAAGTATCACATTAAACCTTTGAGACTGAGCATCGGTAACCCCCCTTTCTAGAGCTCTCCAGGTGATTTAAAAGTACATCCAAGGTTAAGATGCATGATCCCATGCATGTAAGACTCTTGAGGCTAAAAGAAGCCCATTGACCTTTAATCCAGGGACTCTCAATTCTAAATGAACATTAGAATCATTTGAGGGATTTTGAATATAATAACAAAAGGTGGAGCTCAATACAGAGATGCTCACTCCTTGGTCTGGGATAGGCCATAAAAGCTTCCCTTCCCAGGAGACTCTAATATCCAATGAAAATTGAGACACACTACTATAGAACTACCCTCTATGCCTTCACAAAAATCATAAAGTTAAGACTCAAGCTTAGTTTGGGGGATTCTAGAAAAAGTAATACTGCTTCCCTCTCAGCACATACCTGTTAAAAACATTTCTCACAATGAGGCAATATTATTTTTTATGGCCACGCTATAATCCCCATCTGTTTATGAAGCCTTCAGATCTCCCAGAAGAAATCTAAAATATCCCTACTCTAATTTCATCCAAGTTCCTGGGTCCTTATTCTTATTCTTACTATTATGTTTTACTTTCTGATAATTCTATATTTTATTTCTTTTTACAAGCAGTATGACCTTGACCAAATTATTTAATTTCTGTGAATCTCATTTTTCTCCCCCTATTAAGTCAGATCATCTCAGGGTCGCTGTGAGCAAGGCTGACAGATTTAGAAGAAGCAAACACACAAAACACGCAGTTAAGTTTAAATTGCAGATACAAAGATAATGTGTACATGTGAATACGTCCTATGCAATATTTGAGACATACTTCACTGAAAATATATTTGTTATTTCTCTGATTCTCAAATTTCACACAGTATTCTGTATCTTACAACCTAAGTATTGTTAAGAAATAAATGTGGAATTGTATGGAAAGTTCTTAGCCATTGGAACAATTCTAAAAATGAGATTCTCTTATTTTACCCACCCAGCCATCCATACCTTCTCCCTCCAGCATTATCAATAACATACATAAAGACAGATGGAGTATTAATCCAATATTTATGGATGCTGCTTTCCCCTGTCTGTGAGTAGGCTGTAATACAGTAGAACCCCCAGAGTGGACCGCCTCCCTACAGTGACCACTTCCTTAAGTTGACCTAATTTTCAGAGACTGGACATGCACCACACTTGAGTATCAGTACAGTAGGCCTAGTTCTTTATTTTGACCACATCTGTATGTTGACCAATTTGTTCCAGTCCCTTGGGTAGTCACCTATGGAGGCTTTACTGTATTTTATAAACTATATAAGGTGCATTTGGCAACCATAGCAAAAGAAGGAAAGCAGATTCAGAGAAGCATTTAATACAAGGCTTTTATTCATTTTAGAGATTAGATGTGAAGCTCCACATGACTTTCCAAACGGCAAGGCTGACATTGAAAATACGACAATGGGACAACTCAGCGTGGTGTATTCCTGCAACAGAGGCTATACCCTGGAAGGGCTGTCGGAGGCTCAGTGCACAGAAAATGGAACTTGGAGCCACCCCGTTCCTCTCTGCAAACGTGTGTGTTGACGTCAGGAGGGATTATAATCAGATTTGATTTCATGACTAGTTTCCCATCTAAAACACAGAGGCAACTCCATTGATGAGAGAGGTTGGCCCAGAGAAAGCAATTCCTAAGACTGAATTCCACGGGGTATTTTAAAAACCTACTTGTTATTACCCAAGTCCTGTCTGAGAAGCACCTTTATCAGATCGTTTGGGTGATTACAAGCCAAACACACTGAGAGAAAATGCGATTTAATGAAGAATTCATACAACGAATTCAATTGGGGGTAGGAAAGAAGTAAAGAAAGAAAGCCTGTTCCAAGTAAAATGTTAGTATAGTATAATCACAGAATAGAACATGGTAAATGAAGAGTAGTTGTAATGATTCAAATGAAAATAATATTCACAGGCAAAGTATGCATTGAAAGAACTCTGGTTACTGTTGAAAGTATCATAATGTAGTAACAGCAGAAGCCTGCCTTACTCTAAGACTTCTTTTGTACCCATTTAAAATCAGAAAACCTGAAATTACGTAAAATATGTATTGATGTGTGTCACACACATGCATCAAGCCAGCCTAGCACCATCATCATTTCCTAGGTTTCCTTCAAACTTGTAAAAATGAATCCATTCTGGGCAGCGCCTGTGGCTCAAAGGAGTAGGGTGCTGGCGCCATATGCCGGAGGTGGTGGGTTCAAACCCAGCCCTGGCCAAAAACTGAAAAAAAAAAAATCCATTTTTATTAATAAAAAATGAGAACTCCACAATTCAGTTCTAACATCCTGCTCATTGAAGTGTGGTTCTGAAGTCATATTCGTCTGGTGTAGAAACGTCTCATGGTTTTCCTATTCCATTTTTCTGAAGGATATTCAATATAGGAAAGGAAAGTGACAGAAGCATTGACTCTGTGTTCTTACTGTTCTTCAGCTAGGAAGCTGAAGATCTCCCTAGATTAAGGGAACGTTTGGTCGACCCCTTGAGTTCTAGTATGCCTTTTGTTTCCCCAGCACTAATCAAAAACAAATCAAAAATATTGTCCATAGTCCATAATTTCAGACAACTACAGAATTTGCCATCTTCGACCTTCAGGATCTTGTGTTGGTGGTTAAATCACTTGTGTTTTCTGATTTCATCTTTACATGTGGATTCAAAACAAGTCTGTGTTGAATGTTGGACGTTCTGTATTTTAAATCTCATATTAGCATCATGGAGAACCCATTCCCTGTAGGACCCCTACTCTGTCTTCAAAGAATTCAGTTCACCAAAGAGGGAAAATGTCAGTAAGCATTTTCTTTTCTTTTTCACAGCAAATCCATGCCCTGTTCCTTTTGTGATCCCTGAGAATGCTCTGCTTTCGGAAAAGGAGTTCTATGTTGATCAGAATGTGTCCATCAAGTGTAGGGAAGGCTTCCTGCTCCAGGGCCACGGCATTATTACCTGCAATCCTGATGAGACGTGGACACAGACAGGTGCCAAATGTGAAAGTAAGTCAAAGCCAGTCAGTGTCGTTAGGGTGAAATGTTTCCCCGTCCTTGTGAAGCTGTTTTCCACCAAGTAACTTAGTCGTAGCTATTTAGATCTCTTCTGTGTTAATGCGTAAAATTTGAAAAACTTTGAATTCCAAACATTAAAAAAAAAATTTTTAAATACTATTCTGAACTGAACTAAAACCTACCTGACCAGAGTTCACAGAACAGATTTTCAAAATGTACTCTTCTGAGAATGAGGAAGATATTGGATTTAAAATACGTGCTTCTCCCCAGATTGGCGGAGTCCCCAAACTATCCTTTAAGAGGCTTTGTAAAACAAAAATTATTCCATGGTGGTTCTCAACTTGAGCCTGCCTCAGAACCACCTTGTTAAAACTCAGATTGCGGGGGCCCACCTCCAGAGTTTCTGATTAAGTGGTCTGGAGTGAGGCCTGAGAACGAGCATTTCTAACAGATTCCCAGGTGTCGATGATGAGTTTACTGCCGGTCCGGGAATCACAATTTGAGAACCATTGGGCTGGCACCATCTTGCTCCATCCATGCCATACGGTGACATCTCTGACTGCTCTGGGATAACTCTTGACATCTTTTAATACACACTTTCTCCCTCCATTTAAACATCTCCTTGCTCAACATCCTCCCCTCCAAGCTCCTTTGTTGTCCAAGATCCTCCCTCTACAGCAATTGGTTAAAATATTCATTGAGTCTAACCATTTGCAAGGCCCTAGGCTACTTAGTATGAGGACATGTTATGCCACCAGTGGTCCCCATCTTCAGAACGCTTGCACTCCAATTCATGAAATAAGAAATATATGTGTGAAGGCCACAGGGATTCTAGAATCAGAGATGACTTGGGTTTGGATTCTATCCTCAAAATTTTTAACTCTAAACTTATGCCAGTGCCTTAACTACTCTGAGTCTTAGGGCTGCCGATTGTTAATAGCCCCAGTTATGCCTGTCTTGTAGGTATAACAGGTATCTTCTAGGGGGTTTATGAAGAATAAATGAATTGGTACATATTATCAATATCACCTAATAGAAAGACATGCAAAAGTCTAGCCCGATTCCCTGAATTTTCATGGCAGCCCACTGCAGCATTAGAATGTTGATTTTACCCCAGGTAAATGTGTGCTATGTTTTAGCTGGGATTTGGTTCCCAGATGCTTATGAAATCTACCCCTAGTGAAGTGGAAAGAAGTCTATGTCAGCTGGAAGTTTATCTTTGACACTCCAGGGTAGTGGAAGCCTCAGCCTGAAAGAGAACAGGCCAGGTGGCTTTGTTCCAACCATCAATCTTCACCTGGACCTTGACCCTCTGAGACTTCTCTCAAGTCACCGGAAGAGCAGAGAGACATGTACTTACCACAAATGTACCTTCTGTGCGTGCTTAATTATTCCTCAGTATTCTCAAGAGGGTGAGGGCTTGCCTTGGAGAGGAGACAGTTCCACCGTTGTTATCTTCAATCTTCTCTTACATTTTCTGAGACAGGAAGTCTTTGGCTTAGAACAAAATCTCCTTCTCTCACATAAGCCACACCCTTCCTCATTCTTTTCACCTAGTCCTGATATTTATCCCGCTGAATTAGTGATTAAAAGTTAGTGTATTTGAGAATCACCCAGGGAGAGGATGTAGGATACAGCTTCACAAGCCAGAAACCACAGAAATGTGTGTTTTTAGTAAGAACCCTAAGTGATTGTCCTATCAGTGGTCTGAAATTCGTGCTTTGATAATTACTGCTATGAACTAGCCAGCAGCCCACCATGACCTCGCCAGGTGCTATTGCCCCAACCTGAAAGTTCTTCCCCTCTGATCCATTCAAGCTGAGCTGACAGCCTAATCAAATCCCACTTTCACTATCACTCATACCCTGGCGATCCTCAGCATAAGGAGCTCACTTCAGTGTTTCTATGGGATGGTATCCGAGCCCCTAATGTGATTTTACAGCCCTGCAGTATTGCTTTGTCCTACCCTACTTGTCTGAGCAAACGGGCCGCATTGTGTTCCTTTCTTTCTGGTTTCTGATAACATTATAGATACTTCAGCCACCTTAGAAGAGAAAGAAAATTTAGAAAGATCATACAAATTGATTGTCTCCTCTCACAAGTTTTTAATAGTATAATGACAGCAAAGTGACATTTTAGAAGCCATGGGTTTCCTTCACCCCAAATTGGACTTCCACAAACTGGATACTGATTTAGAATCCTGACTGCAGTCCCAGCCTTGCCTTTGTGATTCATCTCAGAATCACTTTAATTAAGATGTCTTGGAAAATTTGCAAACCAAATTAGTTATGAAAAATTGTATTTAAATATTTGGCCCTTTTAAAAGAGGGCTGTCATTTAATCTAACACAGGTTGCAAAAGTACAGTATTAGAAAGAGGAAAACTAATATGAACCACTGAATTTCATAAGCCTCATCAAGGTGTATAAATTGAGGGCCGCGCCTATGGCTCAGTGGGTAGGGTATAGGCCCCATATACCAAAGGTGGAGGGTTCAAACCTAGCCTCGGCCAAACTGCAACAAAAAAAATAGCCAGGTGTTGTAGCAGGCATCTGTAGTCCCAGCTACGCAGGAGGCTAAGGCAAGAGGATCACTTGAGCCCAAGAGTTAGAGGTTGCTGTGAGCTGTGACACCACAGCACTCTACAGAGAGTAACAAAGTGAGACTCTGTCTCAAAGGAAACAAAGAGCTCATTCTTGGCTTCCTTGAGTTTGAAATAGCTCAGCTTCAGCATTTGAATCAGAAGACAAAATAATTTTTGACCTTGTACATCTAATTTTTCTAAACAGCAGCAGATTATTCTTTTAGTGCCTAGTGTTCTAGATACTATACAAGTGAAAATGTTTACCTCATCTGTTTCATCTTTGCTCTTAAATTCGGTCTCAGAGCGGAGGCTGTGTTCTCAGTCTGGGTTAGTAGCGCAGTTTAATTTTTGTTTTGTTCTCCCGCAGAAATTTCATGCGGTCCACCGGCTCATGTGGAAAATGCAATTGCGCGAGGCATCCGTTATCAGTACGGGGACATGATCACCTACTCGTGTTACAGCGGCTACATGTTGGAGGGTTCCCTGAGGAGTGTCTGCCTGGGAAACGGCACATGGACGTCACCACCCACCTGCAGAGGTGAGGGGACATCTGAATGGTTACTTCTTAGTGGAGCTTCAGGGAAATGTGTGTGCAACTCCAGGACGGCCAGCAATTAACATGCATGCTGCTTTTTTTCTTTGGATTTCTCTCCAGAGCTGTGTCAGTTTTCTTCACTGTATGGTTTGAGTTTTGAAAATGTGCAAATAGAACTCTTCAGTTCTGTGCTGGAAATTCTGCAAAATGGAAAGAGATAATGAGGCAGCCTGCTGTGTCCTTCTAAAACTCATACTTTTCTAATAAAATTATGATTATTTTGCAAATAATAGTAATTATTTTGCTCATTCTACAAATCTTTGTTGAAAGCCAAGAACCAGTGCAAAAGGGAGGCGTAACAAGGAACTGGACAAGTAATGAAGTTGTTGGTTGAATTGCCCAGGTGGACAATGTTTGGATTCGGATTTGGGTTGGAAAGACTATAAAGCCTTTCATGATTTGTGGGGCAGGGAAAATTGAGGAAGTCAAAGGACAAATGGCACGGGCCTCAAAAGAAACAGGAGAAAGGGACTGTCTGGCAGCAGCAAGGAGAGGTGAGAGCACCAACGCATGGGAGGTAGGAGATGTAGGGAAGGGGCAAGCCCCCCTTGAGAGGGCTGCTACGTGGAGCATCCTTAAGGACTAGGCCAGGGTTCACGTAAAGGCAGGAGTAAAATGAGTGTTGGGTGTTTCATATGGAAACACCCGAATGCCTGCCAACAGACAAATGGATAAAAAAAATGTGTGTGTCTGTGGATACATGTACATCACAATGGAATATTATTCAGCCTTTAAAAAGTATAAAATCCTCCCATTTGCAATGGCATGGATGACCCTGGAGGATATTGTGCTGTCAGAAACAAGCCAGACATAGAAAGATAAATGCTGCCTGATTCCACTGATATGTGGAATCTGAAATTATCAAACTCATAGAAACAGAGAGAAGTGTGACTCCCTGGGGCTGAGAGGGAGTGGGGATGGGAAGATGTTAGTCGGAAGATACAAAGTTTCAATTATGCAAGATGAATATTGTTAACTATGGTCCCAGCAACGTGACCACAGTTAACAATCCATCACTATATTCTTCAAATTTACTGAAAGGATGAATCTTAAGTGTTCTTGCCACAAAAAAAGAGAGAGAGAGAGAGAGAGAGAAAATGGCAATGATGTGAAGTGATAAATATGGTAATTATCTTGATCATGGTGATTATTTCACAATTTACACATATATCAAAACATGAAGCCATGAACTTTAAATATATACAATCTGCAGTTGTCTGTTGTGCCTCAGTAAAGCTAGGGCGGAACCTGGGAATGACAGCAGCCAGCGCCATGCCCCTTCGTAGAGTAAAATTTCCCCTTGAGATTCAGTCTTGTTTCTCTTCCTTGAAGCTTGAGGCAAGGAAGCATCACGAGACGTAAATAAGCAGCCCTATTTTCTAGCTGCCCCCTCCGGCCACCCCTAGATTTATGACCTACACTGCTTCTTTTCCAGCGGTCTGTCGGTTCCCTTGTCAGAATGGGGGCATCTGCCAACGCCCAAATGCTTGCTCCTGCCCCGACGGCTGGATGGGGCGCCTCTGCGAAGAACGTGAGTCTATCCTCAAGTCTTACTCTGAGTCCTGGGCGCTTTGTCTGGAAGCTCCCAACTTAGGGGAATTATTAGGAACTGGCTTTACTGTTGGAGGACTTTATTTGCTTAAATCCTCATAGCAGACCAGACAGAGCATATAGGGCTGATGTGAATGCGTCAGTAGGTTGCAGAAGATCTAGAATGATAATGACATTGAAAATACAGTTATCACAATCCATTTAAAGTCATCTTCCCATGCCTCCTGGCACAAATGTACAAGCGTCTCCTTGGGAAGGAACTTTTCATAAGGTCTCCCAGCCCTCCTCTTCCCTTACCTCAGATCTACCAAGTACTATGCCAGCCCTTGCTGCAGTTGGCATAAATGCATGGCATTGGAAAACACTGCACCTTGCAGGTAATACTTGCAGTCTCCCATTCACTCCTGTCATTAAGGATGATTTCTACTAATCCAGAAAACCAGAAAGGTTGGCACTCCTCTTTATACAATGTTTGATACATTAATATAGACTTTTGATCCTCATGGAAATATGTTTGAATCTAAATTTCCAAGAGAGTAAATAAGTGGTTTTAAATTTTTTTTAAATATCTAAACTCCTCTTTGTTTCAGTATCTTATAAATTATGTAAGGATGAAATGTTTTCATGTTTCCTTGGGTGTGGTTGTATATAAGCCTTTAGGAATCATTAATGTGATGGCCATTGGTCTATACCGGTTTCTTCTAAAAGCCAGGCATTTTGTAAGGCACTCTACAGCTTTTTAAGTGTAACCTTTGATCCTACAGATGATGGAAATAAATTTGGGCTGCTGACAACTCACCAAAGCCACTTTTCTCACAGTGATTAAAAAGAAGAGAAATCATATTTTCCCTGCCACTTCTCCCCAGTCACCCCATTGCACTTAGGGCTCCCAGATTTAACCTGCTATACTGTTAAGAATCCAAAAACTCAGGGAGCATTTACTCTGACTGCCCCAGCGGCAGGCCTGGCTTAGCTGGCCTTGCTGGCCTACCCGCTGAGTCTGCCCTCCTGCACTAAACCAGAGACTCCCAAGCTTTAATGTACACACGAGCCCTCTCGGAGATCGGTAGATCTGGGTGGGACCTGAGATTGTATATTCCTAATCAATGCCATTGCCTTAGACTCCTGGTTAGAGAACCTGGTTTTGAGAAGCCAGGCTACAATCACCCATCTTTTAAGTAGAGGATGCCTCTTTAAAGAGTTGAGAGATTTCTAGGAGAAACAATTGTCATAGAGGGTGTGGAAAGCCCTGATTCAGTCATCGTCAGGTCTCAGTTCCAAGGAAAGAAAGAGTGGGCTGTCCCATTACTACTGAAATGTTGCAAACACTAGCTTACAGTGTATCCCATCTGATTCCCGGTCCTCACACTGAACTCCAGACAAGAAGAAAGCCTCCAGGCAGCCAGAGCTTTTACATAATGTGTAATGGGGATTGGAAACGATAATAAATGGAGATCATTCGGCTTATGTTGTGAAGAATTAAAGCAAAGCACTTAGCAGACATTGATTACAGTGTGTCCTCAGCGAAAGTACATTTGGCATTAGAGTCATTGCCTCTGGCTGAGGATCCAGACTCCCTTTCCCGACTGTTTCCCCAGTGATGCTCATTAATAAGCAGGACACATGCGGGAAGATGAGCCAGTGGGTTCACGCGAGGTTTCACTCCTCCCGGAAACATGTTTTCTGAACACTGGAACCTACCCGAGCGTGTGTATTTTGACCAAATCCTTTTCAATTCCCTTTTTAGCAATATGCATTCTCCCCTGTCTGAACGGTGGTCGCTGTGTGGCCCCTTATCAGTGTGACTGTCCCCCTGGCTGGACAGGGTCCCGCTGTCATACAGGTAGGCTCCCCACATGCTGTGTTTCTTTAATGGTTTGCTCCCAGGAAGCCCCAGAGGATGTGGGTAAGTATGAGTCAGACTCAGAGGTGGGAACAAGATGAAAGGGCACCAACGTTTCTGAAGAATTCCTCACAATGGGACAGTTAATGACCTAGTACATGGTGGGGGTGGGGGAAGGGGAGCAGTGACAAGGAAGGAGGAGGGGGGTCACGGTGTGTGTGACACCTTTCGGAGGTGGGACACAGTTATAAGAGGGACTTTACCTACCAGATGCAATCAATGTAACTTGGTTCTTTGTACCCTCAATGAATCCCAACAATAAAAAAAAGAAAAAGAACTCCTCACAATGGTCCCTTAAATAGGGGGTCTAAAGACTGAACTGCGTCACTTCGCAAAAAATACCTTTTAGGGGCACGTGCCAGAAAAGAGCATCAAAGTCGACTCATTTGTCAGCCTTCTTCAGGTCACCTGCTGGATTCTGCAGAATGTAGGGAAGACATTAGGCAGAAGTCCAGGATATTTATTTTAATCTTTAGGAAGCTAAAGTACTAAATTCATAGTTACTGTTCAGAAAAAAACAAAGACGATTTAAGTTCAAATGAAAATACCTCACAAAAGTGATGGTTTCTTGTCAAGGACAAGGGTCACAAATCATAGTCAATTGATTAGGAACGAACAAGTACGTATGCCCTGAGCAACACTTCCTGCTGAACTTTGACATCTGCTTATTGCTCCGTTATCCACCTGTCCCAGCCCTCACTAGATGACACACCCACTGGAGGGAAGGATGTTTCTTTATCCGCCCAGGGCCTACCATAGTGCCCAAATATAAGAGGCTTTTTAGTAAATGTCAAATAACTCAGTTTAAAATGACCAGTTTTTAATGTTCAAAAATTTTAAGCAGCTGTTAAAAGAACAGAACTTATATGTTTAATTAGCTTTAGATCTAACTCTCCGCCATCCACTCTATAAACAATGTTTGTACTCCGTGGGTTAAAATGCATAGTGGAACAGGTTTGCTGACACCTGAGCTCATCCTGAACCCTCAGGCTGGGGTGATGATAAAACTTAGCCCAAACCCATACATTTTTGAGGGTGAAAGGAACACTATTAATAAGGAAACCAGGACACACATACAAACTTTAAGGGATTCATTCTTAACCATGGCGTTGTGAAGAGCCTTTTATGTTCCCATAGCCATAGAAATAGGCCTGCTTTCTTTTTAAAAAAAAAAATGAGAAAATAAAGTCAAGTTTTACCATTTTAAGTTTATTTGAATTCTTGGAAAGAACAATATTCAAAACCCCTTTTCAAAATAAGATGTTCTGGACTACCGGACAGGCGTTTTGTTGTCAATTCATGATTTCATCAATAGAGATGGTAATTTTGGTTTTATAGTAAAAACTAAATAAGTAAACCATGGAAATGGGAGTGAAAGGTGCTGTCACAGGCAAAATCAGATGTGCAGTCACCTTACTAAAGCCCAAACTGAGCTGTCCATGAACTTGGAAACGGAAAAATGTCCTGGAGCCTACATTTCAAGTTTTATTTGAGGCTCCTAAAGTAATCTGTATAGTGTTTGTTTTTTTTCAATAACAGATCAACTTTGATATTTATCCACATTTCTCCTGCTCACCTGCAAGCCAGTCCTGCCTTTTTCCAGGCATCTTACCTGTAATTCTCCCTCCCCTTCATCAGAGATTACCAATACCATCGTTCTTTCTGTTCCTTCCTGTCACCAGCCAATAAAAGATCACGGGCAGAGTCTGCCAGCTGACCTGCCCATCCCCATGTCCAGGCTGCACATCACCAGTGTATTACTTCTGCCATATCTTTGCTCTAAGAACCTAAAATGGTTCTCCATTATCTCCACAGCCAGGCCAATTCCTTTGGCATCCAAAGTGCTACACAGACAGGCGTCAACACACCTGAAACACAACTCCCTTCCCATCCTGCTGCCCACACACAGTCCCCTGCAGCAATGGCTTCCTCATTCCCCTCCACTCCGTGTCCCTCCTCTTCAATCTCTTATTTGCTCAGGATCTCCCTGTTTCCTCTAATTCTTTCCAACCTTCTTTAACCCCAGAGCCTGCCTAAGTTTCCTCTCATCTCTGAACTGGTTCCATATCTTCCTAAGCTGTTTTCTAACATTCCATTTCTACAGATGTTACACAGTTAAGATCATGTTGTGCAAAGCTCCATTGATCTGATTTATTTGTATTTCTTTTAGCTCCTTTGTTCTCTAACTAGAATAATCTCCTAAATAACAGCAAACCATCTAGTCTTCCTTTTTACACATCTTGCAGTAGCTGCCTTAGCATAGGAGCTGCTGCCCTCCAGAATTGTAATCTAGAAAACAGGACGGTGTGCAGATGGCCTTTGATCACCAGGCTAGATGATGATGGAAACTAATCAAGTTCTACAAAATGAGTTATGACAACAGTGAAGACAGGTAGAATCTGAGAAAAAGGGAGACTCACCAGAAGACCCATCTAGCTAAAGGCATGAAGCCTAAAGCACAGAAGTGTGTTCAGCAAATTGTAACTCAAGCCACAGAGAAAATACAGGGGTGTGGGGGGAAATGAAGCTGAAAAGATGAACAGCAACAGATGAGGAAATGCACTGTGTGCCGAGTTCAAGATGTGGGATTACGTCCTGGGAGCGACGAAAGACCACAGAAAGGTTTTAAGCAGGAAAATCACGTGAGATCAGATTCTCTTTTAGAAAAGTGATTTTGGCAGCAGTATGGAAAATGGCAGGAAGCAAGGTTTACAAGAGAGAGATTAGTTAGGAAGTTGCAGAAACCAAACTGGTAAGATGCAATGAAGTCTGGAGAAATGATAACCAAATTAGAAGAGAAATTTAACAAATTGATCAAACAGATGAAGGGTCTGCTCATGAGACTGTGTATTTGTGAGAAAGATACCTATATAGGAGCCAGAAATTTTTGAGTGTCCTCTCAGAGTTTCATCTGTGGTTAATTTTTAATCCTAGCCTAGGTTCTGTAATTCCAGTGAAAGCTGATAAAAGCCACAATATGTGTCTCCCAGCCAAACACAAGAGGGCTGTTGAATCATCTGTTGTTCCAGACAATCCATGTGCCTGCTTTACTGTCACAAGAGCTGTTACCTGACTTAGTCACTCATCCGGTCATGGAGTTCACTGCCAGCTTCCTCAAAAAACTTGCAGTCTAATTGAGCATATGAAAAATGCATAGTCTGAAGCAGTAAAAGTCCCAGACTGGGTGCCGAAATTAAAACAGATTAAAGAAGAGAAAAATCGGTCCACTGATTGAAGTGATCAGCGAAAGTTTTAATAAGTAGGTAGGATGTAACCTGGGACTTCAGTGTGAAAATTAATTAGCCTGGAGGGATAAAGGAGGCGAGGTCCAGGCGGGTGTCAGAAATGGATAATGCAAATGGCGCATGGGGAATGGGGGTGCCCGCTGTGGGACTTAGAGGCAGGTCTCGTTCCATGTACTTTCATGCTCATCTTCAGAATTGCTAAGTGTTACTTTAAATAAATGCATGATTTCCCATCCCAGCTGTGTGCCAGTCTCCCTGTTTAAATGGCGGAAAATGTGTGAGACCAAACCGATGCCACTGTCTCTCTGCTTGGACGGGACATGACTGTTCCAGGTAAGACGATCTAAACCCAATGTCTCCCTATTACATATGGACTCCAAAGAGCCAGGAAGTACTATCTAGTTGGAATGTACACATTTTGAAATACAATCTCTTAAATTTGAACGGAAGCCAAAGCTAAGAAACATTAGTTCAGGATTGACCAATAGAACAATGATACCTCAAAAATAAACAGCCCCGTACTGTCTTCAGCCGCACATATACTAAAACCGGAACGATATAGGGAAGATTGGTATGACCCTGAACAAAGCTGGCATGCAAATTCAGGAGGCACTCCCTCTTATTTTGCCAATTAAAAAGAAAAAGGGGAAGAAAGGATTAAATAAATAAATCATCTTCTTGAACAGTAGATTGTATCCTTCATGTGCAAAGATGTAAAAGAAATAGTAAACTTAATCAATTTTATTTAAAATGGCCTAATAGATGTTTGAGTTCTTGATTACCAGAAAGAACAGTATTAAAAATGATATGAAATGTTTATTTTTACATTTAAGTCCCAGGTTACATCTTACCTACTTATTAAAACTTTCGCTGATCACTTCAATCAGTGAAATATTTTTGTTTCATTTCAAACGTTTAGGGTTTATATGTATGATATTTAACTGACTAAAAGAAAATGTAGGCAAAAACATATTCTCTCTATCGGTTTCTCATGTCGGACAAATCTAGTTTAAAAAGATTATTACAAAAATAAAAACAAAAAAATCAAATAGAAAAAATAGTTAAAATATCATTTGTGTCTTTTTAAACCTCAGGAAATATCAGCCATTTTATGCAATGTCATAGGTACCGTATTTATAATATTGGAACATTGTCCTCATGAATGTGCAAAGTCACTGTATTATCAGCTCTCTTTTAAGACTTTCAGTGTACAGTACTGCACTGCATCACTTAGATTTGGATTACGTACACTTAACGCCATCTTACAGGAAGCATTAAAAACAAGTAAGTAGGGCGGTACCTGTGGCCCAAGGAGTAAGGCGCTGGCCCCATATGCTGGAGGTGGCGGGTTCAAACCCAGCCCCGGCCAAAAATTGCAAAAAAAAAAAACCAAACAAGTATTTCTATATTTATTTTTTAAGGTGGGGAATTCAATTAACTGAAAATAACTCTTACTTTTCCATTTCCTGTTATGTCATTTGGAACCGAATGCCAAAGTCAACTGGCAAAAACAAAAAGGCTGTTAAAGTAAAAACTTAATTAGCAAAAAATGTCTTATGGCAATAAATGTCCTCACCTCTCTGCAAAGGGAGAAAAAGATATACTGACCTCGAAAAAGCAAATTTGAAACAGACAAATATATTTGGAAGCTGCCAAGATAAAGATGACAGTTTTACGTGAGAGCAGAATTTAAGAAAATGAGAGAGAGTAAAAAGAAGAAAACAGTGAATCAGAAAGAGCAGAAAGTATTTATAACTGTCTTATAAGTCAGACTTTATATTTGAACACCTTCATTTTGTATATAAGGAAAGGGAAACTCAGAGATTGCTTGGTTTCCCAGCATCAAAATATTTCCACAGGAGCTCTCCCTTCCTCAAGGGAAGGATTGTTATTGATTTATATGAAAATACTGTATATGAACAAAGAAAACAGAATTTAAATTTTTATCCATATGTTTGATACAGAAATCCAAGAAATTATGGGAAATTAAGCCAAGAGGTGTATCCCGCATTCAAGGAGAGGCTAGCAAGCACCAGGGGACAGGCAGCTCCTCTTCCTTATACCATAATAGATTCTTCTAGAAAACTTCTATTCATTGGGACTCTCTTGTGTTTCCTCTGCCCTCTGTGCCCATCTTTGGTCATACCGATCTTCCCTGTATGGTTCTGGATTTAGTATATGTGCTGCTGAAGACAACACGGGGCTGTGTATTTTTGAGATATTTTTGTTCTATTGATTAAGAAATTTGAGCCTAAACAAATGGTGGAACTAAAAACCCCGAACTGTTTGTTCTTTAAGAGACCTTGAGGTCTCTCATTTTATGTAAGATTGTAAGACAGGAAACTGGTGACAGAATCGAGACTGAAACCCAGTCTGCTGCTTCTTAGAACTTTTCATAAACTAGTAGCTGTTCTCCCCGCCCCGTTCTTCTCTTAGGGAATGACCCCGTCCCTACAAACAACATCCCAGATAATGCCCCAGTGTCTGAGACTCCGAATCCTGGTGTAATCATCCCCCAAAGAGCCCTTGCCTTGCTAGTTCAGTCTTTTCTCTTGAATCCATCTTGTTTTTCTTCTAGGAAGAGGAGGACGGGGTTTTAGCCACCGCACACCCACGGGGCTCTCCCCAAAGCAGGTTCATCTCTTCCTAGCAGCGTCTGGGCATCCTGGAAGTTATGCGAAGAAAGTCCAACATGGTGCTGGGCCTTGGTTCGTTTGGTAAACGTGTTCTTTGGGGTTTACGTTTTCATTCTGTGATGTCTGTTGTTATTCCTCGTGCCATACTTTCGTATATGTTTGCCTTTTTAAATATGCCTGTATTTTCTATATAAAAATTATATTAAATAGATGCTGCTCCACCCTCACAACATGTCCATCTTCTGCTGTCTGTTGGGAAAGCTCCTGGTCCACATTCTTATTCAGTCACTGAAAATAACTTTTCCATTAAAATATATTTTGCTACTAAATAAGATTTTGCTGGATAGTGCCATTTATGAGTCAGCCAGGAAAATAATCGAGAGGAGAGAGAGCCATAAGGACACTGAAGATCTACTCTCTTAGCAAATTCTAAGCACACGATGCAGTATTAATAACAGTAGTCACCAGGCTATAGATTAGAACCCCAGAATGTATTCCTTTTATCACTGTAAGTCTGTACACTTTGACTAACGTCTCCCCATTTCCCCCACCCATCCCTTTTCCATGTCCTGGCAACCACCATTCCAGTCTCTGTGTCTCTGAGTTCCACTATTTTAGATTCCACATGTCAGTAAGATCATACAGTATTTGTGTTTCTGTTTCTTGCTTTTTTTCACGTAGCATAATATCCTTCAGATTCATCTATGTCATTGTAAATTCCAGGATTTTCTTCTTTGTATGGCTGATTATATCCCATTGTGCATAACTAGACACATTTTCTCTTTCCACTCATCCACCATAGATTTGAGTTGTTTCCATACCTGGGCTCTTGTGAATAATGCTGCCGTGAACATGATGGAGCAGGTATCTATTTGAGATGCTGATTCCCTTTCCTTTGAATATATAGTAGAATGATATTAAAAAGCACTGTGCTTTGCCCACAGTGGGTGGTAATATATGCCCTTAGAAATATTTTTATATACTTTGAGCTAATATGAAACAAGTTTTAAGTGTGATAAAGCTCATAGTAGCATTAATATTATTATTGGTGAAAATATGGGCATTGGGAAAATGCCCCACGAGACACCCTAAACTATGCCACCTTGAGCTGCCTTTACTGAATGGCATATTACGCAGCCTTCAAAGATTACACAGTACCATGGAAAATGTATGTGATAGAAAGTCAAATGGGGAGGACAAGATACAAGATTTGTCATGTTTCTGTGGTTCAAAATTTTAGAAAGGATGCATCCCGAAGATGAGAAGACAAATGCCCAAGATCACAGAATTATAAGTATTACAACTAGAGTTAAAATTCAGGTATTTTTGACCCCAAATATCTGTGTTTGTTTTTTCACTATATTCAAACACTGCCTCTTAACTTTTGAATATCCATGTAGCAAACAAAAATTAGTCAACCACAAGAGATAAAAACCAAACCTATTGATATAGGGAAATCAATGAAATATGGTTTTTCCAGGAAAATTAAAAAATTATTCAACCCTAGGTATGTTATTTCTACTCTCTATCACAGGAATGTCAAGGAATAGGATCGTTTCCAAAGATGCAGGAAAGCCACGTGGAAAAATGAATCCTTAACTCTTAGTAATACCTCTAAGACTCAGACTAGAAATACTTCTCTACTGTGGTAAATATGTGTCTTCTCAAATTAATAACCATCATGCTTAATACTCAGTGGAAGCTGAAGCCAGTAGGTTAGGGAACACTGTGGTCAAACACGTTTTAAGTCCCTGTGGCTTCTTGGAAAAGAGAAAAGATGTAGCAGAACCAATCATGGTCAGAAGGAAAAAGAGACAAAAACAGACAATTCAACGTCTTCTTTTTTTTTTTTTATTAAATGATAGCTGTGTACATTAATGCAATCATGGGGTACAGTGTGGTATTTTCATATACAATTTGAAATATTTTCATCAAACTGGTTAACATAGGCTTTATGTCATTTTCTTAGTTATTGTGTTAAGACATTTATACTCTACTTTTAGAAAGATTCACTTGTACCCTTGTAAGATAAACCGTAGAGGTGATCCCTCCAATCACCCTCCCTCCACCCAGCCATCCCCTCTCTCCTCCCCATGTTCTTAGGCTGTAATTAGGTTATAGCTTTCATATGAAAGCTATAAATTAGTTTCATAATAGGGCTGTGTACATTGGATACTTTTCCTGCCATTCTTGTGAATTCAACGTCTTCTATTTTCCTCTGCTAGCTACAACTTATTAGAGGTCTAGATGCCTCACTGTCACACAAAGATGGAAGTCCAGGGACGCTATTCCACTGTGATTCATGGTGGGAAAAAACATCAGAACCAAATGTATGTCAACAGTGGGGAAGACTTAAAATACATCACGTATTCATAGGATGGAATAACATTTAGCCTTTAAATTCATGTCATCAAAGTATATCCTAATGATGTTAGAAAAGTGCTAAATGCAAAAGAGAATACAAAGAAAGTTTTAACTGGCCATAATTGTTTCCAGAAAAAAGAATTACTGAAAATAAATCCACATATGTAAGTCATGGTGATACACACAGGCTTTTCCCCTTGCACTCCGGTCATCACCCAACCTCATTATCATGCTCCTCATTCCCCAAATATTCTTTCTACTGTTTGTTCTTGAGTTTTCAGATGCTCTTGACTATCGAATCAGATTCTCTCCTAACTCTAACTTGAGGCAGTGACCGAAACTTCAGACCTTTATTTTTTGCCCTAATGAGCTTATAAACCACCCTTTCAAGATAGTCTGGGCCCAAACTATAGGCTTGGACAGCACCTGAAAGAAAAGGACTACTTTGAAAATGATGAAAAGTAGCAAACACGTCGTGTCTCCCACTGGCGAGGCAGCTACCTGTTCTCCACTGCGGTGAGTAACAGGCAAAGCCTCTCAACACGTGTGATCCTGGGTGGAATGTCTGCAGCCACAGGACAGACACGCACAGAACCAAGACGAGCCACTTTAAGGAGACACACACAGACAGGCTGTTTGGGTGTCCACGAAAGTCATGGTACTGACTGCTGTTCCCCTCTCTCCACGAGGAAACGCTGAACACGCCCAGTCCCCATAGAAACCATTTCAAGTGAGTTCACTCCACCCTTCCCAGTCCAGACCTGTCTAATTACAGGCCTGATCCTCACCCTCTGAGTCAGCACCAGGCCTGCTTTTATGACACCTACTGGGTCTTTTTACTTTCCCAGAAGAGCACTCAAAGCTGGTTTATGCTTCTGCAAGTTCAAGTGTATCCGATCAGCAAGGGTAATAAAGAGGGAACTGATGAACTAGAAAAACCTGAAGGAATGGATTAAGGTAAAGACCACAGAAAAGTAGCGAGAGCTACCTGGTTGCATTTCTCAGTCACACCACATGCTTTAAAAGAGCGATTCTTGAGAATCTATGAAATGTATGATCAGAGGGGAGTACTTCCAAAGTCTTCATTGCATAGCTTATAGTTTGTATTCTGCTTTGTAACGTAAAATGTATTTTCTCCTACCCTGCCTCATAAAGGTGTTAGAATTAAAAACTCTGTGGAGGCCCAACATTTAGGAATGGCTGAATAAATGTTGGTGTCCCTCCGTTTGTTCAGCCCTTCCTCATCCTATCTCAACTGATTCTTCAAAGTTTCTTCTTCTTTACATCGAAGAAAACTAAAGCACAGAGAACAATGCTTGCAAGACCAGTACATTCTCTCTCCAGAACAGCGATTCTCAACCTGTGGGTTGAGACTCACAGGAACTGTATTAAAGGCTTGGGGCATTAGGAAGATTGAGAACCACTCCTCCAGAAGAATACTTTAGGAGAGGAGAGGAAACCTGCAGATTACAGCCCAGCACTTGAAACCCAAGGCTGGGGCTCAGAATAGAGAGCTTCAGCCCCCTTTCCAGAGAATGAACCTTGGCAGGACCAGGCCTTAGCATTTTCAACCCTGTGAAAGTTGTACAACTAAGGTGGTTTATTATTATAGTCTATATTTCTGATGTTTACAATAGAAAATGCTCCTAATCACAAAGTAGCTTTCGTTTAAATGAGAGTCCCACCAAACAGCTTCAGGCTGTACTTAACGAACAGTTCAAAATGTTCCATAAGTCATAATTGCAACACTGAGAAGACGTCATGATGAATGGCTTTGGGCCTGTGGATACATTGCATTCTCATCTTGAGAGCTTTGCACCAGTCCTTCCCGTTACTAATACCAATTTCTTCTACTCCCAGTCATCACCTAACCCCATCGTCATATTAACCATCCTCCACAAACATGCTTTCTATTGTTTGTTTTTGAGTTCTCAGATGCTATTGACTTTGTCTTAACCTTCCCCCCATCTTAACTCCAAGGCCAACTTCTACAGGACACTGAGAGAATAAACTCTGGCCTTTTCCATCCCAGGGTGCCTTCTAGTCAACTTGCCCATGAGTAGAACAGATATGCCAATGTGGTTATTCAACTACAGAATGAATACACTCCTGTGTGCATGTGAGAATGTGGGTATGTGACATATTGAGATTCGTAAGGTCAGATACATCCAGAAAATCCCTTAAATGCATGCACAAGCACACGCGCACACACACACACACACACACACACACACCCCTACAAACCTGTTTGTCCCTATTAGAATAGTTCATGACCTTGCTGTTCAGCCACTGCCCAAGGGCTACACTTGAACTTGAGTAGGTCCACAAATGTAGAAATGAAACCCAGAAGCCCCTAACCATGGTGCAGCAAGATAATGCTTGTATGTTAACAGGGGAGACTCAGGTGCTAAGGTGTTTCCAGGGAGAGTGAAGGTAGAATGAGGAGCAAGCTCTGGCTTATTCCTCACTGGACACAGCCTGCCAGCTCATCCAACTCTGATAACCCACCAAGCAGAGCAAGGGAGGCACACTCAGGCCTTTGTATTCTTTATCTCGTGTGTATCACTCTACTGATACCTTGTTAGTGTTGTAATAGACTGAAGGAACAGCAAATGTACACAAGTCACAGCCATCCTTCTCCCCTACCTAGGAAGTGGCCCCAGTGCCTGTGTCTATGAAACTGAACTTCTGGTCTAGCACTCCAAATCCCTGCCAGCCATCCCAAGGGCTGCCTCAACAGTGACACTACTAGGCCACAGATAGTTCCGCTTCAGACTTTAGATTCAATACAGCTCAATATACACCCTCTAGTTTACAGCTCCCAGGAGATAGCGAGGAGTGAAGTGCGCACACAGGAAATGAG